TGTTTCCATAACACCATTCAAAAATCCTCCTTTGGTAACTAATAAATGAATTGCTTCAAATGTGTGCCTGTCTTTGGGATTTGGGAGTTCCATATAACCTCTTGTACTGTTCCCGAAATCTACACTTAGAAAATTCCTGCACTTGGGAAGAAAAACCCCATGTCCTTAGGTATAAATGGGAGTGTTAGTGCCCCTTACAATGCCTCCATGAGGGCTGGAGCCCAGTGATGTTACTGAGATTTCAGGTGAGAGGAGAAGATCCTCTCCTAACTCTACCTGGCTAGTGTCCTCCCAGGGCTGGGTGGTTCCTAAAAATCTGTGGAGGAGCCTTTCTTCCTGGGCTGTTGCTAAGAAGGAAACAGCCAGGAGCAGCTGGCCAAAGGAAACTTCTTCCTCATAAAACAACCAACCATTTGCAGCAATTTTATTTGCAAAGATTTCCTGCTGCGACTAAATGGTGTGGCTGCTTGGTTTGTTATTTAAAAGAGTGACCCTAGTGAGTCCAGAGCTCTGAAGGAGGAAGAGTATGATTTCAGACCAGCATTAGGAGGAGGAGCTGGCACAGAGGGTGCCTAATTGAATTCCAGGGATGTCTTTGAGAATGCAGCAGCGCCTGGTGCTAACACCTCAGGCTTGGGGATGCCTCTTTATAATCCCCATGAGTCAACCCAAAGCCTTTCTGGGCCTCATAGAATAGTGGGATAAAATATCCCCAAGAGAGGCTAGGGATTGGAGTCACGAACCAGAAGAAGCTATGTTTGGGAGGAGGGGAAGGAAAAGACTAAATAGAGACAGGGGAGGGATAAGTGGTCCAGCAGGCAGGTGGACAAAGAACCCAAGAAGAGGCAGGGAACCAAGCAGGAGAGAAGATTCATAGAGGAAATTTCCTAGTGGAGAAGAAGGGAGGAAATCCAGGCATTTCCTAAGCAACACACTTGCAAGGTCAAGTACAGCGGGACTCTGGCGCCTCTGGCTCTCTCTCTCTCCTTTATACTGGTGCCTGATGTGCTGATGAATTATCTGCCCTGTAGCATGTTTTTTTTTGTTTGGTTTGGTTGTGTGTTTGGTTGGTTTTTTTTCCTCTTGGGATGGATACATTTGAGAAAATGGAATTGGACGGATGTAGTCATCTTGAGATAATTACTAAGGAAAAGGTGTAGAAGGTCCAGGAGAGCCACCTTCCTGATAGACCACATGGGAGCCTCTAGGGCCTCAGAGAGATGGTAGCAAAGGTTTAACCCACTGTGGCTTCCGAGATATGTGGTTGGAGACCAGGCTTCAGAGAGAACATTAAGCCCAAATGTAAAACAAGCCAGGCAGGAAATCATAGTACCTGCAGACTGCAGCTCGCTTGCAGGAAATTTTAAGATAAAAGCAGCAATCCTGGAACATTCCTTCATGATTAGCTTTTTAAATTTTTTTGTACCAGGGATGGAACCAAAGGGGTGCTTAACCACTGAGCAGCATCCCCAGCCACATCCTCCCCCCAACACACTTTTTTAAAAAAAATTTTTGTACAGCATCTCCGTAAGTTTCTAGGGCTTCACTAATTTGTGGCTTTGAACTTGTGATCCTCCTGCCTCAGCCTCTCATATTGCTTGCATTACAGGCTTGTGCCACCATGCCTGGTGGTTTTAATTAGTAAATATTTGGGAAGATAATCTGGGTCAAGTTTCAATTAAACACTAAAAATACTGGGAGAAAACCTGCACTTATAGAATAGAACTGAATCAGCAATGTGTTTTTAAAGGAAATCCTTTTTTTTTAGTGGTACTAGGTATTGAACCCAGGGGTGTTCAACTACTGAGCTATAGACACAGCCCTTTTCTTTTTATTGATTGATTGATTGATTGATTGAGACAGGGCCTCACTAAGTGGCTGATCCTGATGTCAAACTGGATCAGGTCCTCCCCACTCTTGGGGAGCTGGGATTCTGACCTTGGGCAGGGTTTAAGGGGAATCTTCGTTCCCTTTGGTAGAGTAGGTGTGCACTGTCTCCGCGAGGCCATCATTCAGTCACTTCCCTGGCACACAGTGTGCTGGGAATGAGGCAGAAATAAGACAGAAAGGCCACAGCTCTCATAGAACTTGCAGGGAAGAGAGACAAAGCATGTAATTATCATAGTTTGAAGAGTGTCTTTATTGGAAAAGTTCAAGATGCAATAAGAGCATTGTGATGGTTTGGATATGAGGTGTTTCCCCAAAGTTCCTGTTAATGCAGGGCTATTCAGATGTGCACTGATTCCATTATGAGAGCTGTGACCTAATCAGCTTATTCTAGTTTGAATGGACTTTCTGGGTGATAACTGTAGGCAGGAGAGGCATTCCTGAAGGAGGTAAGTCATGGGGGTGTGCCGGGCAAGGGGAGAGCTTCTCTATGACGCCTTCCCTCCTCTCTGTCTTTCTCTCTTCTTCCTGAGCTGGCCATGAGCCGAGTAGCTTTCCTCTGGTGGACTATTCTCCCATTATATTCTGCCTCAGCTTGGGCCCCAGGTAATAGAATTAGCAGTCTAAGGTCTGAGACCTCTGAATTGTTGAGCCCCAAATAAACTTCTCCTCCTCCAAGTTGTTCTTGTCAGGTATTTTGGTCACAGCGATGAAGAGCTGACTAAAGCAGGCACATAGCAGGGTGATGTTACTCCAAGGGACAAGAAGGACTTGCCAGTGGAAGCCTGAGGAACATAGCACAGGCAGGTAAATGGTCATCTGCAAGTGTCTACTGGTGGGAAGGGGCATGCTGGGGAATATGTTCAAGACAGAGAGAGGAAAGAGCTAGAAGTAAAAGAGAACATAGTATCTTCAAAATATAATGAAAGTTCAGTTTTGAAGGGAAGGTAGGGTGATGTCTAAGGGCGAGAATGGCATGACACAATTTTGGAAAGGGAGGCAGGGGCCATGCTGTGGAAGGGTTTGTAAACCATACGAAGGAGACGGGGCTTTATTACAAAGCAATGAGAATAACCGAAAGGTATTAGGCAGGCGAGTGATGAAATCACATTTTCATTTTAGATCACTCTGGCTGCAATGCAGATTTAAAATAAGCAGAACTGGGCACAGGAAGATAATTTAAGAGGCCCTGCAGCAACACAGGGAAGAAAAAGATGGACTAGAATGTGGTAGGGAACATGAAAACAAGCAAAGCATTCCAGAGGTGTCGGGAGGCTAAAACCTATAACAAATGGCAGGACTGGCTAGGAGACGTCAGGGATAGAGAATCAAAAAAGACATCTTGGAAAGTTTGATTTTAGGCAATTTGTTAATAGGGATGCATCGTTTAGAGGCATTATGGATTTGGCTAGGAGAGGATGGGAAGGTACATTTGGGAGAAAAGGCAGGCAGTTTCATTTTGGCCTTTAGCCTCCAAAGGAATGTTTTTGGTTCTAGTTAAAACTGTAAACCAGGGGCGTCATTAAGAGGGTCTGAATAGAGATGTCACCTTGGGGTGACATTAGTTGTATCCCTGGCAATGAATGAAAAAAGTGGAGGGTCTAGAAGACAACCCCAAGGAACACTCAAATTTGAAGAATGCCAAAAGAAAGAGAAGCACGTTAAGAAGCCTAGGTGGAATTACCAGGGAGGAAGAAGAGAATGGAGACAGTTGTACCAAACAAGGGCTAATATTTACAGATTACAGATTATGGAGAGAGCAGAAAGCTCAAGCTAGGAGAATATTAGGATTAGATCAGAGATACAGCCACATTAAAGTTGCTTTTAGTTTCAATCTGAAATTAAGAGCTTCATCTAGAGACTACAGTTCAACTCCCTTCTAGAAATTAAACAAGTATAAGAAGGTACCCATCCAAACTTCCACCAATTGTATTTCACCTTTCTCAGAATTAATTTCCCCTACATGTTCCCACTATTTCATTCCTTCAGCTGGATCTAAGTATGCATTATGTTTTCTGAACACTTTTATGTATACCTGACATAGTACAAAAAATAAAATAAAAAGGATGTTCAAAACATTTGTTGGGGGAAAAAAAGTGCAGTATTGAACAGCAGGTATGATCATATTTCTACTTATATAAAATTATAGATTTATGCCCATAGAGCTGTATATGCACAAAGATGGCTAGAAGGATACTCACTAATTATTTCAACAGTAATTGTCTTTGGTTAGTCAGATTTAAGGTCATTTTCATATTCTTTTCTTTGTTCTTCTGAAACTTTACAATATGGATACATAGCAATATTATACAAATAATGAACCACAAAAGCATAGCATAGGATCTTCTACCTCATGCAGTCAATCACTGCCTCTAGGAGGCTGCACTAGAGTCATGGCTGGGCGATATGAGGTGAGTCAGGAGAGCAGTGCTCTATGGATATGTTGGTCTTGCTTAAACAAACCAGACCAAGAGAAACCATGCATGTTGCTTCCACAGCAGCCTTTTTACTCAAAAAGACTGTGGAGAAGCAAAGGAGATAAAACCAAGTCTATTTCTTTAAGAGAAGAGCACTCTTCAGATGCTAACAGATGCTTGTAACATATTCTCTCTCTTCCCAAGGCAGATCATTCCAAGGTAAGTAGCCTTGTACTCCCTCGGTTCTATGACTACTGTTCTCTCCTAGTGATCAAGGACTTGGGGATCAGAGAGGTCTGGGTTCACTTTCACACCGAACCACTCACTTGTAGCATGGCTGTGGACAATTCATGCCTATAAGCCCATTCTCTTACATTATAAAAAGAAAATAATGTTTAAAACTCAACTAGATTTTGAGGATTGAATGAGGTCAAGCATGCAAAACACCTAAGAGTAACATCTAGCACACAATAAGTAAGTGCTCAGTAAGCGGTAGTCGTTTTATGTTAGAACAAGGACATGGTGTGGCAAGGTTTGGATCTGAAAAACTCTCTCCATTGTGACCAGTTGCCATCCAAAGGGCCACCTTCCACCAGTGGCCATCCTGAACAGCTCTTCCCACAGGTTCTGAGCCTCCAACCCCAGTCTCTGAAGCTCTCCCTGGTTTCTACCCACTACCCCTTGTTTCTCACTCACCTGTTGAGCATATTCGACTGATAGATTCTCTTCTCGTGGGTGTTGTAGCAACTGCTCTTGGGCTCGGGGATGAAGCTGTGTTCCGACAGCATGTCAGAAGCAGCAGTGGTGATTATAGCAATTCCATCTCTCACTCTGGCAGGGAGACCATAGTCCCACTCATCATATGATACAGAGATGAGCCCAGTGGGAAACTCCGAGGGCACTGTGTCTGTATCCCCTGCCACCAGACTAGGCACAATCCACGTGTAGCCATAGCCAGTCAGCCCTACTGAGTTGGCCACTTCAAAGATGTAGGTGGCTTCCTCCTTGGTACAGTAAAGAAGAATGATGGGGCTTTGAAGTTTCTTGAGCTGATTCTGGATCTTAGAATCTCCATCGTCCAGGGACATGTCCAGTAAGAGGACTTCCTCTAGCTCCCAGCCCACGAAGCTGTTCTCGATGGTGCTGCGGATCTTGTTTACAAAGTCCTGGTAGCCAGGGAAGTAGGTGGTGACAATAGAAAAGATGTACCAGTCGTATTCTTCCATGATGTTGAGCATTACGGAAGCTTGCTGTTCAATGGATGGGCCAAACTGGAAGAACATGGAGGATTCATCCTAGAACAGCAAAGGTACAAAAAAAGAGAGAGGAAAAACATTTGAATCCCAAAAATTTTTAATTAGTTTCTGTAAGTATTTCTCAGAATTTAGAGAAAATCGACATAGATTTATACTCTTCTTATCTGAAATCCTTGGGGCCATGGTCTAAGACGGTTCTTCAAAATAAAACATGTAAATATTTCTAGAGCAAGACAGGTAGAGTCCCAAAAAGTGAAGCTGAGGTTCTACGTGGCCTCATTTCACTTCAGGTCAGACTTTGCTATCAGGTGAATTACAAACTACACACACACACACACACACACACACACACACATTCCTTTTCTCTGTTTCCATTTTTCAAGGATTTCTGAATTTCTCAATCGCAGATGTGTATAATTCAGTAACATTATATACCCTAAAAATGCTATCAATCTACCCTTAGACCTACCTACAGAGATAGCACAGGCTCACTGGCCCAGAAGGTATACATTGCTCAGGTATGGATACGAGGGAGAAGAATGTGTAAATAATGTAACAGCTAATGTGGTCTAACCTTTGCTCTGATAATACAATTTGCAAGTTAGAGTAAGGCTCAAATACGGCATCTAAGCCACATGTTAAAACTACTGGTATTCAAGCTCATGTGTAAGCTTTATTCTAGAGCGACATAGAGAAAATTATTCTTTCTTGTATCCACGTAATGCGTCTTGGACTGACTACATACCACACAGACACCTTTCTGCCATTGCTGAGCATCTTCTATTTTCTCCTTCTTTTCAAGAGAGAGGCCATTTTACATTTCTCCCATTTTAAGCTGCATTTCACCTGCTGTTCTGAGATGTCAAGCCCTGTATTTTATCTCTACCTTATAGTGACAAGAATCTGAAACTGCAAAATGAGCATCCTCTCAGGCTTGTCCTGCACTCTCAGTCCATTTCCCCCTGATTTCCTCCTGGGTAATGGTATCTCTTTTCTTGGTCGGTGCCGCTGTCTTGTATCAGATGGTTCATCTCCATTTTATAACAATCCAGACTGACAAAATTGTGTCTCTCTCCGAGGGGCTATTCCTTTTTATCCCCCAACTAGTGTTTCAAAGTACAGTTACAAGAGACCAAGAAAATGGGCTTTTATACAAAATTATATAGTGATTCCTTCGTTTAGGAACATATTGCTGCACAGCTGAGAAATTGCTGAGTATTTCTTGGGCACCCACTCTTGAAAAAAAAAATACAGGTTGGGAAATATCCAGCTGGTGTCCAAAGACCCTGATTCGGCAATGAGAGCTGCCAGCCCCTTAGCTCTGCCAGAGCCATTTGCTTCTCGTGGCTTGAGCTTTATACGTTTCCCACAGGCTACCCAGAATGGAGGAGCAGATGGGTAGTCATCTGGGGGCAATGCTTCCTGCTCAGTGTAGAATGGTGCTTATCCTGGCTTCCTCCCCTGGACTTACCCATACATTTGTAGAGAAATTTAAAGGACCACGGAATTCAGAAGAGCAGAAGGGGTGGGGTACCAAGAGTGCATAGGTAGAGCAAAGGGAATTAATTCATACTGGTACGATTATGTCACATATGCGCCCATTCCAAACTCTTGGTCAGACACTGCTGCTAGACTTCTACAGCACAAGATCTATCTGAAAACAAAGATGACCCTTCCTTAGGTTATAGACACAGTGGTGTTACGGATATTGATTCCATACACTGAAATCCAACCCCTAGGGCAATGGTGTTAGGAGTGGGATCCTTTGGGAGGTGATTAGGTCAAGAAGGTTCAAGCTTCAAGAATGGGAGTAGCACCCTTACAGACAGACTGAGAGCTACCTTGACCTTCCCATCTCATGCAGACAGACAGAAGGTGCCACTCATGAACCAGAGAGTACAAGAGTGAGCCTCATTATACACCAAGTCTGCTGGTACCTTGATCTTCCCAGCTTCCAAGACTGAAAACTAAATTTCTGTTGTGTATAAGCTACCTAGTTTATTGTACTTTATTACAGGAGCTGAAAGAACTTAGACAACGTGGGAATCTAAAACAACAAAGCTCAATTATTCCAAGACTTGTCAGGGGCCCATAGAGAATCACAAAAACAGGAAAGAAAGTCTAGTGACAGAACAACACACCTAGAATAGCTATCACTTTAAAGAAATAATTACTTTTTTTTTCCTTGTTATGCTCCCAGATAAAAGGGAATTTGGGGGACTTCAAATGGGAACTGCTGTCCTGTGAATTTCTAAAAGCCCAGTGGTTATAGCAAAGTCGAAAAGCTTTCAAATATACCTTAAGATAGACAAGGCTTGGGTTGATAGAGATCCTGACTGCAAACAAAGTACATCTATAGATGAACCAAACTTATCATGAGGAAGCTCTTGAATGCCAAGTGTACAGTAACACCACACTTGGCTCAAATACATAGCAAGAGTCAGCTATGAGAGAGACCTGTGGGGGTCCATAACAGATAACCTCGTGCTAATGAGATTGAATTTAAAGGAAATCAAGCTATGAAATACCAACCTAACCCTCCCTACCCTTCTTGATCATTTTATACCCTCCCCTCCCAAGGTTATAAATGAACTTGTAAAGACAATGTCAGCTATTATGAGAAGAAAGTCAATGCGGGGGAGATTAAGAGAAGAGAAAATTAACAGGGGGCCATCAAATCCCCACCATATCCTGATTTCACCTTCTAATTCTGTTGTCCTACACAACTTCATTTTGCTTTGGACTCTTCTGTCCCCATCTATGCTCAGTTCAGCCATTTTATCTTGCCAGTCCTCCATTAACTAATGATACCTTCTAAGACCATTTAATCTGGCACCAAAAGGAGTTTACTGAAGCCAAAGAGAAATCAAGAGACAGAGTTATGGCTTGGGCAAATATTTCCCGGTATAATGAGTAGACCAGTGTTATTAATTTCGTTGACACATCAGTCTGGTGGATGGTGGTCAGGAATGGAACAGCTCTTTTTCAAAAAAAGCTTTGGGATCACTGTAAGTTGCAAATGGTGACAGACTTTGCAAATTATGGCTGCAGCCACAAATCAAAGTGCAATCTTCATGTGTGCACAGAGTGGAAAGGACTGGTGGCCACACATCCATCTTTGCAGGCACCCAGCATGCACTGTGATCACCCACAAGTGATCAAGGATGAAGGACGGATCTATAATTCTGTTTGCAGCTCACTATGCTTCCACACTTACATTTTTATCTCCTAATGTCATTACAAAATGTTGACATGCAGGGGTTCTTTGTGTAGCCTCCTCTTAGTAGAGATTCCCAGTCAAATTTATTGCATGAATGAATGTACTTCTTCAACTTGCCTTGAAAGCATCCCTAAATAAAAGGCTACCATAAATGAGATGAGCAATTAGCACAGGAAAGGTAGAATTGTACATTAGACTCCATCAGTCTACAACCTTTATGTTGTACTTCCATTACTTTGATGTTCATGGTGTTTATTTGCTAATAAGAAACAACAAAAAAAAGAGTACTTTTTCATCCCATTATCTGCCTCAGAAAATAATTGCCTCAAGAATTAGCAGTACATGGAATTTTTCTTCTGCATCATCCAGATCCCCTACCGATCCACTTCTGAAATAAAGGATTAAGTACTGCAGCTACTGATCATGCCCCTGGCAGTAGTCTTTAGCTCAGCCCCCGCTTTGGGGATTGTCTTGCCTGAAGAGAGCCATTTGCCCAAAGTCATGCTCCCTTCCTGGAGTAAACAGTGTTGAATGACTGGTTGCCAAGGGGTATAAAGACCTGGTGTTTTTGCCCTAACTCCGGATGACTCTGAAAGGTCAGTCAATCTTAAGAATTAAGATTAACAGGGACAGCTGGAGTTTCCATTAAAACTGTATCATTCCGTACTCCTCCCTCCACTCAGTCCTTCCCCATCTTCCCATCCCTTCCCTTTGATGGTGTCAGTCTCAAGAATACTCCCTAATAAGCCCCCTGGATATTAACCTTAGTCTCAGAGTCTGCTGTTCAGGGTACCTGACTCTACTCATCTTCCCTTTCCAATCTGTAAAAGAGGTGGCTTAAAAGAGAACATTAGATGTATTTTCAAATACTAAAATAACTTGTAGAAAGATAAGTCTTTGCCCATTAGCTCCAGAGGAGAGAACTAGAACCAAGGAGTAAAAATATTAAAAGTGGCACAGTCCATGAAATGTGTATGCAACAATTGTGGATTTTTTTTTTTAAGGCAGGGTCTTCCTATGTTGCCCAGGCTGGACTTGAATTTCTGGGCTTCAATGGGTCTCCCACCTCAGCCTCCCAAGTAGCTGAGACTACAGGCATGCATCATTGTGCTTGGTTCACAATGATAGCTTTCTAAAATGGAAAGGGCCTCAAAAGGTAGCGAGCTCTTTGTCAGTATGAGCATTCAAATGGAAGCAAGATTATTATCTGACATAAACCCCAATACTCTGGAAAACTCCATGCTCACCTTTAGGACCAGATTCAAATACCAGCTCTTTGATGGATGACATTTTTTTTCTAAACCCCCTTCCCCACCTCCAGTTAATTCTACCTCCCTGGGCTTTCATGACCTTTTGTACATGCCTATCACAAGGCTTAGCACACAGTAACATGTGCTTGCTTCCTCTCACTAAAAGTGTGTGTTTCCCAAGAGCAGGGCTATGCCTTAAACATCTCTGGATCCCCATGTGGTACCTGAAAAAAAATTATACTGTTTGTTGCATTAATATTACCAAGAAGTTTCCCTTATTGGGTGGGAAATTAATGAAATGACACCGATGGTCACATTCAGTTCCAAATTTCTGTGCTAACAGTATATGTGCCCACCTCGTGGATATAAGGTATGCCTGAAAATACGAGGAGACCCCTGCTATAGCTAGCCATGGTGGCAAAAAAAAAAAATGCCACCAGCACTTATTTACTTGCCTTTGCAGCAAACTCAAAACAGTCTACATGATGACTTATATGATATATTTATGACAAACTTCCTGCCTCTTCCAAACTAGGATGGGAACACCATGAGGCAGGGATATCACTGTT